CGCTCCCCAGTCCTCCCGGCCCTGCTCCCCAGTCCTCCCGGCCCTGCTCCCCAGTCCTCCCAGCCCCCTGCTCCCGTCCTCCCGGCCCTGCTCCCAGTCCTCCCAGCCCAGCACAGCTCATCCCAACACGGGGAACCCTGGGCTCCCTCTCTCCTCCAGCCATTTCCCTCAGCCCTGCCTGGGTCCCCTGGGACTTTTGTCACTTCATCTGCTCCTCGTCTGTCACACTGAGAGAGAACTTGTCCTGGAGCTCCTCCTTGGCAGGAGATCCACGTCCCCCTGCCCTGCTGTGACCAAAGAGCATTTCCCGAGGGAAGGTGGTTTTTTTGGGGGTTGGACAACCCGGGAACGCCTCACTGACTTCACCCCCTTTCTCCCATCTCCTCCCCACCACCCCACCGCTTGGGCAGCATTGAGAAGATCTCCAAGATCACCTCTCCTGTCCTGATCATCCATGGCACGGAGGACGAGGTCATTGACTTCTCCCACGGGCTGGCCCTGTTCGAGCGCTGCCCGCGGGCGGTGGAGCCGCTCTGGGCGGACGGGGCCGGGAACAACGACATTGAACTCTACAGCCAGTACCTCGAACGCCTTCGGAAATTCATCTCCCAGGAGCTGCCCAGCCAACGCACCTAGCCCGGGGGGCGGGGGAGGGCAGGCTTGGGCTGCTCTCCAGTTCTCCCCTTCTCCCGAGTCCTTGCTGCTGGGAGGTGCAATGAGTCTGTCCGGCCTCAGCTCCAGGTTCGGGGGATGGAGCAGATGGAGCCTTTTTCCCCTTGGACGTCAGCACAACTGTTCCCACTCCTGGTGTCAGCCCTGGCGCTGCTGGCACCACCAGCCTGGCAAGAGATGGCAGCTCCTTCCTTCCCCCTTCCCAGAATGGTGGGATCACACCCTCTTGAGGATGAATCCTTGGCTCCAGGCACCTCCTCATCCCCTCTCCTCAAGCAGCAAAACTCCTGAATGGCTCCTGGCTGCTCCCGTGCTCTGACTATAGCAATAAGGCGAGGGGGAGAGGGGTGGGGGGGCTCAGCCCCCTCCCCAGCATCGCTGGGGGATGGAGGAGGTGGGAATTCCTGCTCTCGGGAATTCCTGGGAGTGGTGCCAGTCGTGACAGGGTGCCTGGTGTTCACCCTGCAGAGCCCTGTCCCAGAGGGCAATTTGGGGATACTTGGAGGAGGTAGCCCCCCTCCCTCCCCCCAAGCCTGGCCCTGCTCTGCCTCCTCAGAGCACCCCCCATGGGCAGGTCACCCCTGGAAAGCCTCCTCCCCAGTCGTGCTCGCTCGGGACATGGGGTGAGGGCACCGGGCACCCAATAAAGAGCAGAGGTTTCATGTTTTACCTGTGTGTGCCTGTGGCCCCCCCAAGAGGAGCAGCCCCAGCTCCTGGGGGTCCAACCCTTCCCCTGTCCCTTGGCTGTCACCCTCTGGGGACCAGGCACCCCAAGGTGCCAGCAGGAGGGGAAGGAGATATTGACCCTCCAGGTAACCAGACTGCAAAGGTCTCTCGCTCCAAATGGGGCTGTGGGGACAACAGGGACCCCTGACCCCACCAGCCCATCCTGTTCTGTTGGGACATCCCATGGGATCATGGGTGCAGAGGTGGGGATGGCCACAGCCTCCCTGCAGCAGTGCCCGGGGGGGTTGGGTGAAGGGGATTGTCCCCATGGGGTGGTCCCAAGTGGGCAAGGGTGGCCCTGGGGGAAGCAAATCTCTGTGACCTGCTCTGTGCCCTGGCTGCACGAGGGCCTGGGGGGGCTGGGAGGGGGTGCTGGGTGGGTGGCTTTCTGGATCAGCACCTGCTCTGAAATTCCAACCTCCCCCCCCGGGATGAGCAGCTCCACGTGTCCAGGGGTTTTCCTGCCCCTTGCCCCAACCCAAAGAGCAAAGCAGAGCTCTGCCCCTCCCTGGGGACCCTCGCAGGGCTCCCCTGTGCCAGCTGCCCCCCTCGGTGTCCCCAGCACCCTCGTGTCCCCTCCCTGGAGCAGCTCATGTGAGGAGTGATTATTTCCTTAGGCAGCTCCTGGAGGGGCTCAGGGGCCTCGTGGTGGGGCCTCTTCTGCCGCCCTGAGCTCAAATGTTCCCATTGTTTGGGGCTGGGGGGTGGTGGTGGGACCCCCTTGCTCCCCACACATCCCTCACCTGCCCCCAGGGTGGAGCAGGGAGGACCCTTCCTCAGCACTGGGGCTCAAAGAGGATTTGGGTTTTGAGGCTCTGGGTGGTCTCCCCTCATTTCCTGGGGGTGGGATGTTGGGGAGCTGGGATGTCTCCCTGAGCATCCCCAGCCCCTTCTTTCCTTCCTCTAGGTCACTGCATGGAGCTCCCAGGGGGGTTTGGAGCCTTTGCTGGAAGGTGAAGCCACCAGGGCAACCCCCCCTGGCTCCCCCCC